AAATTCAGCACCATATTATGATCGCAACTGCAGAATGGCATTCCTAACAAGAAATGTCATTTGTAGCCAAGATTTTATATTTGGCTTCTATGGATAAAATACTCACTTCTATGAATTTTGAAGCTAGAGCTATATAATCTAGTTACCCCAAAAGACATTTACAGGATTTTACATAGCCAGTATGTTATCTGGGCTCTTAATGAGAACATATACAGATACAACAAGGACTTATGAAAACACAAGTTCTTGGAACTTCACATAAAGAAATATGTGCTCATAAAAATAGCAGAGTGAAATAACAGCATCACATTGACCTGCATCTAGCTATCTATAATAAATAGGACTAATTTTTGTCACACTATTTGTTATTTTTAAAAAGAGCCTCTTAGTACTAATTTTTTTTTCTTTCACAGTTGTGTACTTCTCTTCATTATTAGTTGGTTATCTTTCTTTTCTTTTTTTAAATATACAGTTTTAATATCAGTATTAGTAGGGGTTTGGGCATGGGAAAAGACTGTTGAATGTTCTTACTTTTACCAAGACTAAAACTAATAAAAAGCAGAGTAGTATATTAAGGTGGGTCAAAGAAAATTACAAATTGTGGACTTAACAATAATTAAAACCTGTATTGTGCTATATATATACAAAGAAGCAGGCCAGACACCATGGCTCACACCTATAATCCCAATACTTTGGCTGAGGTAGATGGATTGCTTTAGCCCAGGAGTTCGAGATTAGCCTAGGTGACATGGCAAAACCCCATCTCTTAAAAAAAAAAAAATACAGGAAAATTAGCCAGGTATGGTGGGGCATGCCTATAGTCCCAACTACTTGAGCCCGGGAGGCAGAGGTTGCAGTAGCCACAATCACACCACTGACCTCCAGACTGGGTAAATGAGCTAGATCCTGTCTCAAATATATATATATATATGTATTATTTTATTTATATATATATATTTTATATATTTTTATTTTATATATGTATACATATATATATATATATGTATAATATATGTATAAAGAAGCACATTGAATGGGTTTTACTTTCTAGTCTATATTCTCCTAATTCTTTCAGGTGCTCCTCTTATCCTATACAGGACCAATGTATTAGTCGTACAGAAAGGAATACAATGGAAGAACTATATCTCAGTGTACTATGATCCAAATGTTGCCAATTTATCAGCTTTAAAATTTATTCATGAAAAATTTTACATCAATTAATTTATTTTATATTTTATTGCTTCACAATCTATAATTTGTTTAGGATTCAGTTCTATCATTCTTTTTTTTTTTGAGACAGAGTCTCATTCTGTGGCCCAGTCTGGAGTACACTGGCAAGATCTCAGGTCACCGTAACCTGCCTCTCAGGCCCAAGAGATTCTTGTGCCTCAGCCTCTCGAGAAGCTGGGACTACAGGTGCAAGTCACCATGCCCAGATAATTCTTTTTGTTTTTGTTCTTTCTCTCTCTCTCTCTCTTTCTCTCTCTTTTCTTTGTTTTTCTTTTCTTTTCTTTCTTTTCATTATACTTAATTTCTGGGATACAGGTGCAGAATGTGCATGTTTGTTACATAGGTACACATGTGCCATGGTGATTTGCTGTACCCATCAATCTGTCATCCACATTAGGTATTTCTCCTAATACTATCCCTCCCCTCTCTCCCCAGCCCCCTGGTAGGCCCCAGTATGTGATGTTCCCCTCCATGTGCCCATATGTTCTAGCTGTTCAACTCCCACTTACGAGTGAGAACATGCGGTGTTTTTCTGTTTCTGTGTTAGTTTGCTGAGAATGATGGTTTCCAGCTTCATTCATGTCCCTGCAAAGGACATGAACTCATTTATTTTTCATGGTTGCATAGTATTCCATGGTGTGTATGTGCCACATTTTCTTTATCCAGTCTATCATTGATGGGCATTTGGGTTAGTTCCAAATCTTTGCTATTGTGAATAGTGCATCTGTCTTTATAGTAGAATGATCTATAACCCTTTGGGTATATAGCCAGTAATGGGATTGCTGGGTCTAATGGTATTTCTGGTTCTAGATCCTTGAGGAATTGCCACACTGTCTTCCACAATGGTTGAATTAATTTACACACCCACCAACCTCGATGTTCATCAGGGATATTGGCCTGAAATTTTTTTTCTTCTTGTGTCTCTGCCAGGTTTTGGTATCAGGATGATCCTGGCCTCATAAAAAGAGTTAGGGAGGAGTCCCTCTTTTTCTATTGCTTGGAATAATTTTAGAAGGGATGGTACCAGCTTCTCTCTTTGCCTCTGGTAGAATTCGAGAGTGAATCCGTCTAATCCTGGGCTTTTTTTGGTTGGTAGGCTATTCATTACTTCTTCAATTTCTAAATTTGTTATTGGTCTATTCAGGGATTCGGCTTCTTCCTGGTTTAGTCTTGGGAGGGTGTATTGTGTCCAGAAATGTATCCACTTCTTCTAGATTTTCTAGTTTATTTGCCTAGAGGTGTTTATAATATTCTCTGATGGTAGTTTGTATTTCTGTGGTATCACCGGTGATATCCTCTTTACCATTTTTATTGTGTCTATTTGATTCTTCTCTCTTTTCTTCTTTATTAGTCTGGCTAGCAGTCTATTTATTTTGTTAACCTTTAAAAAAAAAAAAAAAACAAGCTCCTGGATTCATTGATTTTTTGAAGGGTTTCCCATGTCTCTATCTCCTTTAGTTCTGCACTGATCTTAGTTATTTCTTGTCTTTTGCTAGCTTCTGGATTTGTTTGTTGTTGCTTCATTAGTTCTTTTAATTGTGATGTTAGGGTGTGGATTTTAGATCTTTCCTGCTTTCTCCTGTGGTGTTCAGTGCTATAAATTTCCCTGTTAACACTGTTTTAGCTATGTCCCAGAGACTCTGGTACATTGTATCTTTGTTCTCATTGGTTTCAAAAAACTTATTTATTTCTGCCTTAATTTCATTGTTTACCCAGTAGTAATTCGAAAGCAGGTTGTTCAGTTTCCATGTAGCTGTGTGGTTTTGAGGGAGTTTCTTAATCCTGAGCTCTAATTTGATTACACTGTGGTCTGAGAGACTGTTATATTTCCATTCTTTTGCATCTGCTGAGGAGTGTTTTACTTCCAATTACGTGAATAATTTTAGAATAAGTGCTATCTGGTGCTGAGAAAAAATGCATATTCTGTTGTATATTCTGTTGATTTGGGGTGGAGAGTTCTGTAGATATCTATTAGGTCCACTTGGTCCAGATCTGAGTTCAAGTCCTAAATATCCTTGTTAATTTTCTGTCTCATTTATCTAATATTGACATTGGGGTATTAAAGTCTCCCACTATTATTGTGTGGGAGTCTAAGTCTCTTTGTAGGTCTCTAAGAAATTGCATTATGAATCTGACTGCTGTATTGGATAAATATACTATACATATTTAGGGTACTTATATATAAAATTAGGATAGTTAGCTCTTCTTGTTGCATTGATCCCTTTACCATTAGGTAATGCCCTTTTTAAAATTTTTTTTCCATGTCATCAGTAGTTGAAAGTTTTGTTTTGTTTTGAGGCAGAGTCTCGCTCTGTCACCCAATCAATTATTGTGCCTCAGCCTCCCAAATAGCTGGGATTACATGTGCATACCATCACACCCGCCTAAATTTTGTATTGTTAGTAGAGATGGGGTTTCATCATGTTGGCCAAACTGCTCCTGAATCCCTGGCCTCAAGCAATCTGCTTGCCTTGGCCTCCCAAATGCTGGGATTACAGGTTTGAGTCACTGTGCCCAACCCATTATCAGTCGTTTTTCATCATTCTCAGATTTATCAAGTTTTAACAATGTTATCAAATTTGAAAAATTAATTTTATTTAGTTTTTGACTTCCACTTTATTTCTTTCACTTTATTTAATTGTACTTTCTTGGCATTCATTTATTTTGTGTAGGGTTTCCTTGATTTTGTGTTCTTGCACGTGGGTAAAGCCATTCTTAAACATAGAACTTCAGACCTAGGACAGCACTTGTCAGTTTATAGTATATTAGACTGTTCTGTGATAAACTCACTCCAATGCTTCTGTTCAAATGAGATTAAAATAAAAATGTGCGCCAACACGTACATTTAGTAAAAAGATTCAGTGTCTATGGGAATCCGTAAAAGTCAAAGAGTAAAAGGAAGGCAATGAAGACGCATCAGAAGATGCATCATACTGAGTTACTCAGCAATGGAGACAATCCCGTTAGGGAGAGGAAGAAAGAACCAAGTGAACCATTAGCCTTGAAGGTATTGGAGAGGTGGCCATATGTGCCCTCCAGAAGCTGGGAGATGGAAACCAACTTGGCAAGCGTGTGGATTGTCAGCATCTAACGAGCACAGATACACATAATATTACTCACCACTCCTGGTCATTTTTATCTCTTAAATTTCCATTTCTGATGTTTGTTAACCTGTCTTTTTTTTTTAGTTTAGAAGCTAAATTCCATAACTACAAACACTGTTATTACTATCATTGTCAGGATCATCACCAACATGCCTAGACTATATTAATAAACACACAAGATGCAAAAGCACCCTTTACTGTAGCCTTCAGTTAGTTTAAACACACTATCAACCTTTATCAGGGCAGCAAGTAAAAAGCAAACACTAGAGGTTATACCTGAGAATTATTCCTAAGCACCAAATTTATCACTAGTAATTCGCACTACTAATTCCAGCAAGCCTCACTTTATTTCCTGCTTATAACACAAACTGGGTAGAAGTGTGGTTAAACCATTTGTCTATACCTTCAGAGAATGCTGCTTTTCCTAAAGTGTATTATGGAATATTTGTCATGGGACAATTTAACTTTTGTGCTCCCAAAGTCGGAAAACTCTAATTATACAGCTCTAGAAAGAGGGAAGAGCAGCACAATCTAATGAGTGTTGAGAAAAAAAGGGTTTCTTGGAATCTCAAGGCCTCCTGATGAATGGTAAATGTTCCACTTACTTAAAAAAAGGGTTTCTTGGAATCTCAAGGCCTCCTGATGAATGGTAAATGTTCCACTTACTTAAGGAGATTCCCCAGATTGAAAAGAGCCCGGTTATGCTGTGGATGGAGCTGGAGAGCCCTCTGATAGTACATCTTTGCCTCTGCTGTGTCTCTCGTCAGTGTTCCGAGGTTGTTCAGGGCACTTGCATGGCGTGGATACAACCTGAAAAGTTAAAAATATTAAGCTGTGATAGTTCAAAAACTTCTTAACTGGGCACAATTTGTTTGTTCTTTTTCCTCCAGGTATGGCATAGCTAAAATGAAACACTGAATTGTTCTTGTACTTGAATGGTTTGTGTCCAATCTTACTGGTTGACTTTTACAATTGAAAAGTATATAATTAGGGCAGGGATGCACATATTTATAATTAAATGACTCTTAATTGGTACAAGAATAAATAGTATATGGATCTACCAGGGTTAAAGACATGTAATAAGATTACTTTCCACTTCCTGTGATAGAAAATCCTCCTTGCGTCAGGTACTGAGTTTCTGGCCTCAGTTTCTGGCCCGGTGGGGCTTCTGACCAGCTCCCTGTGCAGGGTCCACTATTTACACCAGATGCTGAGTGAGCCTTTGGGGTGGAATCTTCATAAACATCTCTTTTTTTGAGATGGAGTTTTGCTCTTGTTGCCCAGGCTGGAGTACAATGGTGCGATCTCGGCTCACTGCAACCTCTGCCTCCCAGGTTCAAGTGATTCTCCTGCCTCAGCCTCCCAAGAGGCGTCACCACCATGTCTGGTTAATTTTTGCATTTTTTAGTAGAGATAGGCTTTCGCCATGTTGTCCAGGTTGGTCTTTAACTCCTGACCTCAGGTGATCCACCTGCCTTGGCCTCCCAAAGTGCTGGGATTACAGGCAGGAGCCACCATACCCAGCCCATAAACATCTTTGGATTGGAGCATTAGTAAGGCTGCCATGACTGAGAAAGGATGATATAAAACATCATCCTATTAAAATAAACTTTACCTCCAAATGCTTCCCCTTCACTTTTTTCTATTTGATCTCATTTTCCCCCTCGTACGGCAATTTGGTTCTACCTGTCCTGGTACAGTCTCAGACAGAAAATACTAAGAATGTAGAACACTTAAAAATAAAAAAACAAAGCCACAATGAAGTCAAAAATAGCATTCCCCATGTTCAAAAGCAAATGTAAAGGAGGATGAGGTAGACATCAGTATACCAAATTTATGCTGATTAAGGTAGGAAGGGAACCAGTTTATTTTCTAAACACAAAACTATAAAGAAGCCAAATCCACACAGCTCCATAATTCAATTGTTTCTGATATATTCAGAGTGGACATAGTTAGCAGTCTACGGGATTTGTTCCATTTCTGTCACCCAGGGTACTGTGAATAAGCCAGTGGAGCTGGCTTTTAATGTAGAAATGCAAAGATAATGCCCAAGTAATAAAAACAGGATCTGTACTTGTCAAGCCCCTTGACAATCAAATGCCATGCTTGCCCCCTGTTCCATACCTTCTAAAAGATCAATTTAATTCTGGGACAGAAGAGGTTCCTATTAAAAGGACAGGAAAGACAAGTTGTAGAGCTTTTTCATCTTTGCTTTACCCAGAGTCTCTTAAGTTTATTTGACCCTTCCCCACTCCCTACAGAACAGCTATAAACATCCCTCAGAACTAATATTTCTAGGAAGGCACTCTGTAATGTTCCTCTTGACTGACAAAGGCTAGAATCAATTCAAATGAATATTATATCCTCCCAAAGCCTGAAAGCCCTAATTATTCACAGAGGCTTTGGAGGCTGATAGGAGAGAAATGTTTAGAGGAAGTCTGGCAGAAAACGCCCTGAGCTAGCACATGCGCTGTTGTTTGCTTCTCTCTGATCGCATTTAATTAGCTCAGACAACATAAGGGTCTCTGATACTGGCCCCGTTACAGCCAACTTCAGTTCCTGGGAGACAAGCGCTTGGTGCTCTCTCTGAGATGCTGTTAGAAGATATGAGGCTATGACGCTGTACCTGTCCCTTCACTCCATGCCCCGAAAAGTGTCCTGTGAAGCTTGTGTCTAAGAATTACCTTGGAAGTGATTACAGAGCACATCACAGCTACGACTCAAATTCTTCTAAAGAAGCTTAGGTTTTTGTTTGCTTTTTAGGTTAAGCAAAGCACTTTAACCCTCAAAAGATTAAAGGGCTGTCCAGTGCACATGGTGAGGACAATTCACATACTCCTTGTTTCCTTTACAACAAGCAGAACAGAAAGCAAATCTGGCACATGTGTCTTCCTTTTCCTTAGAGGAGATAATTTCTTAAGACTTTCTCTGTTCCTTATTTCTTTAAGTCTCTGAGCCCTTGAAATGAACTTCTGAGGTGAAAACACTAAAGAATGGGACAGGATAAATTCAATAAGATCTTCCACCATGGGCTCACCCATGTAAGATGCCTGTTTGCTCTGCATGCAGAGCAGGTCATCTCCAGCAAGTTTTTAGGCCCAACGTCATGAACTTTATATTCACTCACAACCCCACTGCCATTTAAATGAACAGTCATGTATTTCAAACGTCACTGACTTCAGAAATGGCTTTCTCTTTTTTTGTTTCCTTCAAATCAGAAGTAGAATACAAGTCCACCCTGAACTCTTAAAAACTAAAGCGAAGAGAAGTAAAGAGAAACAGAAGCACTATAAGAGAAAAGGCCTGAACTATACCTTGTGCTTTAAGAACCAACTTGCAGCTGCAGAAAAAAATGTGATGCTCAGGAGGAGGTACTAACTATAGTCAGGGAAGAGGCTCTATGTTGGCAAAGAGCCCCAACTCTTCAAGGAAGGGCACTGCTGATATTTACAGGGACTCACTGATTCTATAACCAAGCAAAGCCCACCACCTGGAAAATGTGTAGCTATTGCTTATTCCTGGAAATACTAAGGGCCTGCTAGCATATCCTTTCTCTCTCTGGGTATCTGATGAGGCTCACCTAATCACAAGCAAGCTTTGTATTATTTATGAAACCAAGCTGAATTTCATTAAAAGGATTCTTAATAACCAGGTCAGAAAAAATAGCTTAAAAAAATACGGATGGAAATATTTTCTTAAAACATACTTTTCTATTTACTGCAGACCTAGCAAGTACAAAATTTATTTTCTGTGTTTACTTTTAGCTAAATTTGCATTTGAATGAGCTTGAGTCTAATTCAATCCTGATCTCTCCAGGAAGGGAATTTTCTATTGGAAAGATGAATAATTTAAGAGATGAGTATGTAGCTACATCAATTGTCAGAATAAATTAAGTCCATCTTGACTTTGACTTCTACAGGTATGTTTTACAAATGTCCTGATAGTGGTTATTCCCTTCCCCATGCAGAAAACCTCAACAAAAGATGTGCTGAACTGGAACAGTGGTGATTTTTTCAGGCCTGTTTGTAAGAACACTCACTGGATTTTCCTTCTCACGGTATTCTTCAACATTTGAATTGTTTATAAGGATTCTTTTGCTATTTATTATTATTTTGATGAATCTAATTTTAAAAATTTATTATAAAGAAAATAAGTTAGATTGTTCAACTGTTCTGGGGTACAAGGAAGCTTATTATTTCCTCATCAAAAAAGAAATGTATGGGGCCGGGCAATGTGGCTCATGCCTGTAATCCCAACACTTTGGGAGGTCAAGGCTTGATGGCTTGAACTTAGCAGTTTGAGACCAGTCTGGGCAACATGGCAAAACCCTGTCGCTACCGAAAAATAAAAGATAAAAATAAAAAACAAAAACCAAACACTTACATATAGAGAAATGGTTCTATGAGCTGAAGAACAATTCGTGTTCAAGCATTGGGTAGTTCAGTTTCTGGATAAACACAATATCCATTAAGCATTTTAAGGGTGCTTAATTTTTATCTAGTAGCATTTCCTTAAGTAGAATTAATAGAGCAGGTAGTCAAGGACGTTATTCCTCTCATCTTATGTCTGAAGAATTAGCGTCAGCATATTAGTAGGAGAAAGTCCCTGGGAAGGAACACTTGTCTAAGCCAAAACACAGAAGGTGGGACAAAAGAAAATGAGTTCCAGAGGACCCAGGATATGTAAAAATTACTTTAAATGTCTAAAGTCCTTTCTCAGACATTGTCTCATTTACCCTTCAAAATTCCTTCAGTAGAATTACTGTAGTATTTATTTTATAGTCAAGGAAAGGGAAATGGAGAAATTAAGTAAATAGCAGATTATGAAAAAAGCCATCTCATTCATTTGAGCCTAGGAGTTTGAGGCTGTGGGGCGCCAATGATGGTATCACTGCACTCCAGCCTGGGAGACTGTGAAACGCCATCTTTTAAAGAAAAGAAAAGACATCTCAGGGGCACTTGTGTTAGGAAGGCAGCTGGCTCCTGTAAATCTGTTTTCAAACTTCATTTGTCATTCAACATTCAGCAAATAAACATACTGCTACAAATTACAGCTTCCATTTGGAATAATTCTCCTTTTCATCTTCTTGTTTCTTTGGCTAAATCATTCAGCTATGATCTTATAGGAACTAGTTCTCAGTGGCAGAAGTGAAATAAACTCAATACCCAGAAAGCTTGGCTACTCAGAATCTTCACTGCAAAGAATTTGTCTTCTGCCATAAAAAATAATCATGGTATCTCTGAAAAGCACAGTATTATAGAAAGCTATTTGGGATTAACAACACTCAGTAAGTGTGTAAGATGTACATTCAGGCTTTCTGATTTACCCTTCTTAGGCTTTAACCTCAACTATAAAGGGCCATAGACATAAGCTGTACGTGAATAAAATCTAGTTTTCAATTTTATGTCAGTTATTTACTTCAAATTTTGTACAATGTGTTCCAAAGTTAAGAATGCTGTTTGCTTTTCATTATCTGAGTGCCTTATGGCATTTAATTGTTCAAAAAATATTGAATGATGTGCTCTAGTTTGCAATTTCCTTTAAGAGTATACACACCCTGATTTATTTTCAGGGCGTGTATACTTGTCTGATTTTCATACCACACATTAATTTATTTGAGGTTAACTAAGCTAAGGTCAGATGTTTATTTTTTATTTCCTTTTGAGAAAATAAGAGTCAAAAAGAAAAACATGACTGAGAAAAACATTCCACCATAGAACCTGAATTCCACTGGACTGAAAAATCTACAAAATAATCTTCATTTCAGGAGTTGATAGCGTTATTTTCAACCATATTAGTCTGTAGCAATT